TTTCCATGCTTGATAATGTGCTGTATACATTTGATGATAGACAATTTCGATTAAGTAAGGGTATTCGAAAGCAATATTCCCCTGTCAAAGATCGGCCGGTCGATGTGAGCTACGAAATGAAGAAATTCAAGTTCAAACTCAAATCGTTCCATTTTTGCGGCAGTCGTTTGACGCGCGTCTTTCATGCATCTCGCGAGATCTCACAGTTGAAAGGAAAACCACCTATTCGAATTTAGAGTTCACTCTGCAAATAGAAGTATTCTTTTTTTGCAGTCCCATGAAATAATAACCTTATTTTAATGGATTAAATTATTCAACATGTGTATTTACCCAAACTGCACATACCATAGAGAGATGCTGTGTTTTTACAAGTTATACCAAAATCGAAAAGAAAAACGAAAACTATATTCCAAAACATACATCTTGTGTGGTTTCTGGTTACCACATGACCAAGCACACAGCAGAACATTTATGGGTGACTCACAATGTACAAATGAGTGTTACAAGGAAATATTACATAGACATAAATGCAAGGTTATACTTATACAAGCCATTAGGCTGATTGGCAATCGACTCCACTTTCAAAATTACCTAACTAGTAGTGCACATGTGACCATAGTTTGAACAGACACGATACTTGTATATAAAGTTATTAACACTGCTGTTTTAATCAATAAAGTCAAGTGTAAATAACGATTTAGGCAAACACTGAATGCGTGTCTTGTGTGTGTCAATTCAATAATAGACCACATAGGGGTCTGGTTTGTGTACATTACAATGAAACTTGGTACATAGATGTCATAGAATACAGCTCTTGTTTTGGGGTAATATCCATGCATATTAATAATCTAACTTGCATAATTAGTAAATGTTCTGCTTTTCCGTTGATATTTCAAGTACCAATAATTACATTTCAAAAGAACTTGGTACATGGATGCTCTAGGACAATACACATACCTGTTTAGTCTTGGCTTAAACCTGTACATACTAATTAACTAATAATTACCAATTTTTTTCAGAAACCAATTATTGCATTTCAATAAGACTGGCATTAGTTTTGGATTGAAATTCGAGCATACTAATTGCCGAATGACATTTGATTGAAATTTAGTTCATATATGTTCTGGGGTAATCCACAGACGTAATAATGAAAATCCCCCTAAATCAGATTTAAATTGAACTTGTGGTAGATGTGCTCTTGAATAAATAGACTGAAAATTACAGATGTAAGTATTATAAATTTTAATGGATCACATTGTTTTCACATTGTACATTTCAAATAGTAGACGAATATTATTTGCCAAGCTTCTTGTTTGGAAGGCTAATTAATTTTTAATATGTCTGCAATACTCCTAACACAGTTGTTTTAAGCTTTCTTTGGTTTGCTGTCGCCATGGCAATAGTGGACCAGGAATTTTTCAGATTTCACCACTTAACTAGAGTGAAGGTGTGACCTGCCTGCCTAGTTTGACCGAAATTGGCGCAGCCCAAAAAAAATCACTGACGAGTTATGTGAAGGCGACACACAAACACACGTGCATACATGCGTAAACACAGTATAAGGGCAATCCTAGTGGAGCGCATTATAGATGGTAACTGAAAATAAGTTACAAAAACTGCTCGATCTCGAAATAGAAACAGTTGGAGATGAACCAACACCGTGGGTATCACCAATTCAAGAAGTGCAAAAACCCAACAAACCAGATGTCAGAATCTGTGTAGATATGCGTGCAGCCAACAAAGCAATTCAGAGAGAGAGAGAGACATATAACCCCAACACTAGATGACATACTTACAGATCTGAATGGACCAACAGTATTTTCCAAACTCGACTTGAATGCTGGTTACCATCAAATCAAACTTGATTCAAAGTCTTGTATTTTAACCGTCTTCTCTTCTCATAACGGATTATTTCGCTACAAGCGTCTTAACTTTGGTGTGTGGGTGTGTGTTCAGCTGATGAATTGTTTCAAAACTACAGGGACGAGATGGCACATTAAATATAAGTGATGACATACTTATATTTGAACGACTAGGTGCCTGTTTACAATGCTTATGTGACACTCAACAAGGACAAATGCAGATTCAAAAAGAGTCAAGTAGAATTCTTCAGCTGTATGTTTAGTCACAATGGTGTCTCGTCTGATCCAAAGAAAGTAGCTGCAACGACGCTCCACCACCACAAAACGCTGCAGAGGTAAAGTCATTTCTTGGCATGGTTAACTATTGTGGGCGTTTCATTTCAGACCTAGCTAAATGTCCGAATCACTGCTAGAGCTAACCAAAGAATCATCAAAGTGGAAATGGAGTGAAAGGGAACAGAATGTTCTAGACAGAATAAAAGAGTTACCAATTCCACTGTAGCATATTTTGATCCAAACAAAAAACAGAAGTCCTTGTTGATGCGAGTCCAGTTGGACTAGGAACCGTATTGACACAGTGTGGTGACAATAATCAAGTCTCTATTGTTACACTCGCCAGCTGCTCTCTCACACCGGTAGAACAGAGATATTCATAGACTAGCTGTCACATGGGGTATATTACACTTTCATCTGTATATATACGAAAGTCAGTTTCAAGTTTTAACGACTGACCACAAACCACTTGTACCGTTATTCAACATCCCAACATCAAAAGCACCAACACGCATAGAAAGATGGTTACTTAAACTCCAAGAATATGACTATAAGGTACTTTACCAGCCTGGATAGCTGAATCCGCTATAATCGATATAGTGCATGAATGCCATCAAGGGATTTAAAGACCAAACAACTCGTATGAGAAAGGTCTGGTTTCCACAAATCGATGCAATGGTTGAACAAACAATCAACTTGTGTATTTATTGCAGGTCAAGCCACAACATTTGATAAGAGCCGCAAATCACTGAAAATGTTCAAACTTGCAGATGGACCATTGCTAAAAGTTGGAGTAGATTTTGCTGATCTTGCAACTAAAGAAATCTTGCTTGTTGTTACTGATGACTATGGCCACTTCCTTGAAGTTCAACCTCAGCTCAAACAGTGATTCTGCGATTAGATCACATACTCTCATTACTGGATACACTGCTAATTGTGCACACCTTTCAACAGAGCAGAGTTTGAATTCTTTGCTAATTATTTGGGATTCAAACATCTCAAAATAACTCCAAGATGGCCCAGAGCCAATGGTGAAGTCAAACGATTCATGAAGACTATGAAAAAATTCTACCGAACAACACACTGACGGTGGAACTATACTGATTCATGCTACGCCGCACCGCTAATGCTTGTGTAAACAAACATCCTATTGCAATTGGGGATACCATATTAGCCAGACGTGAAGAGTACATTCTGAAACAATTTTTGCCTATATGACACAAAACCATATACAGTCTCTGCTAAGAAAGGCAGCATGAGTACTACAACAAGAAGTGACCATAAGATTAATCAAAACTACTACAAGATGGTTAACGTGATGCAGGAGTGGTAGGTGTGGTCGCAGCATCATTAGTAGTGTCCCCGTCATCAGCTGGAATATCATTTTCGTCCTCATCAATTTGTGTTGGAGGTTGGCATTTGAGGGTCTTGGAGAATGATGAGTGCATCACTTAGCATAGGGAACTGGATGCTGAATATCCATTCAGAGGTTGAATGTACTAGAAACTTCTCCTCTCAAAGTTTGAACTTTTAATAGTTTAATGTTATTTGTTGTGTATTCATTGTGTTTACTCATATTTTACTCGAACTTACTAATTCACATTATTGAATAATTGCTGTGCAGTTAAGTAATTGCAATGCTGGGAACTTACTCATAGATGCCATTTCACAACAACTTATAATGCCTGATATACCAATATACTCGTTTTATTCAAGGTGGAAACGGATGCAACGTTTATATACTCAGCATGGTGCCATGATGCCATAGCGTCCTCTATAGTTCAAATGTACTTGCATTATAATCTTATGTATCCGGATCATAGGTCAGAAAAAGTAGTTAATCGGTAATCCATGGTGTTTGGTTGCATTCCTTTCATACTCAAATCTTTCACCGTCACCAATAATTATATGCACATTTGTCATGCACAAAAATACATATGCATATGTAAAATCAAAGTTCTTTAAAAAATAATACAATTCATTACAATAAACCCCTAGAACTGGGATATCTGGTGGATTTCTGAGTGTGTGTAATATCTTCCGTCTTTCAACGATTCACCGTCATGTCACATAGACATAGGCTGGCGGTGATACAGTTCGCATGGCTGTCCCCCAACGTAATAGTGTTTCGTCGATGCCTTTCAGATCAGCACACAGATGCACGGCAAGCACAGAATATGCACATGAACAATTATGGCTTTTAGCAACGTATATACGTATGGCGACTTAAATCAGGTCGTGAACCTGGCATGTCACCTTCAAAGGTTTCATATAGTTTGCAAGTATAATTCTCACATTATTACATTGTTTTGGTCATTCTAGCATCTAGCAACAATAGGCTTGACAATGACTGTAGCTTTGTCCATCTAGATATTTCCAGTTTCAAGATATAGTTTTGAATAATACAGTAACTGAACAGTGCCCCCCGTGACTACACGTCGTAAAGTCTATGTCGGGTATACGAAAATATTTCTTGACAATGTATAATTTGTATTGGAAAAACTAGACTAGACTTAACTGAGAAACTGGAACTTCACTGCTGGGACTACATATTTATTCAATGGTGAGAATTGTTTCCGTCTCATTTGTTCCCACCACTTTATTGAACATTCTCATTCTAAGTGAAAATGAAGGGCGTAATAAATTCTCATCATTATTGTTGATAATATATACAAGCAATGGTGTCAGTTTCTCACTTCAGTCTCACACTCATTAACTTTTTGCAGATTGTATGTGTTTGTGCATCTATATTTTCCTTTTTCATTTGCACGACACATTCATCGTATTTCATAGTGGGCAACATCTAAACACCAACACTGCCCAGATTTTTAGTATTATTTCTGCAGATGATTCAGTCTTTTATGAAAGACCTTATTCAAGCGCTCATACCAAGCTTAGAATTGTAATCCTATATGGGAAACCTATTTAGGGCTATAGATCTGAAGTCGCATAAACAACCCAAACGAGCTTTATGATGGGAAACTACATTGTCTATTTGAGGCATGTTTGTTTGTTTGCCATGTTGAGTATGAACACAAGATGCAAGTAGTTCTACTCTGTCCAGATAGGCTCTGGATTCCGACAGGGTTTCTTATCTCTGGTTATCCCTGGGGTGATATATCAAGTGAAATGCATGACCTCAACAATCTTGACAACTCTTTGGCTTTCAACAACATGTATTATAAGCTGGTTATTAAATAATAACACAAAACATTTATCTACCGCAAGGAGTTAATCACGACCTTGAATCATTCAACCATCACTACATCTAAGATTTGACAAGGTCCTTCTAGATCACCCCAGGTAGTATGTGTTTCGAATTTTTAGTTTTACTGATAGAATACAGTTCCTGCTATTGGACACGTGATTCAAACCCAGCAGGCATGGTACTTAGCTTAATTGTGCAACTTTACAAAACTGTCTTTCTTCTAGGTGGATGAAATAAATAAAACTTGATAAAGATATTGTTATGTCATGCATAACAGAGTGCCAGACCAGGGCTAAGAAGGGGTTACCTGATTTTGCAGAGTCAAGCGGGTGCAACAATTGCATAATATAATAGGTGGTTAAGGCACGTAATTCAGGTCCATTGAACACCGTGACAGGACCCATCTGTAAATACAGACATGGTCCAGGACATCACGACAGGCTTAAATAAGTGGCAACCTTCACTACATCTAAGTTTAGACCCAGTAAAATAATAACATGGACTCATTAGATCACCCAAGGTAATAAGTGGCTCAAAATTGTGGTACAAAATGTCATAGCAAATTATTGAAATTTGAACTATGAATAACTTTGCACAATACTGGTCCAACTGTCGTGTCTTTAGAATTGCCTAATTATAATCAAGCTAATTACATCATGAGTAAACTTAAAGCCCAACCAAAGATCAATTTTAGGGCCAAATATATACAAATTGAAATTTGACCCCAAAAAGTGTCGGAACTTTAAGCCGCCTAACATCACAGTGGCCTATTTAAAATTCCTTAAACATTTGAATAATTTAACATAAAAACTATGTTCAGCAAAGTTGGGAGAGTCTTCTTTCACTGACACGTGGTCTAACATTTGACGCAAATATTGACCTTTACGTTGTTTCGCTCTGATGCATTTGGACCTACCATAAGGAGGGAATTTCATAGATGCCACAAAACGTATTGCGAAAACTAGTCGCAATAGTGTTGTTATTATAGTCAACATAGTCGCATGCTGCCTGGAAAGATCTAGAATAATTTAATATTCGCTCAAACATCAGATATAGTGACGGTTGACACTTATTTGAGTACTATCAGGTTTATGCAGGTGAATTATCTCATGGTATGCTATAGAATCGTAATTTAATCTTACAAACCTTACCCTGGATCACGTGCTGTGACCACCTATTATTTGTATTGTATGAGACCCTGTCAAATGGAGCTGAGCTAACTCTATAATGTCTGTATACATCTAAGCAACAAATGTTTGTATTATTGCACAATTGAGCCAAGTACTTTACATGCTGAGTTTAAATCCCGTGTTGAAATACCAGACCCCATTGTTGACCCCCTATCAGTATTCCGTCC